ACTTTATTGTAATAAGTACACATGATGTTTTTGTAATGTTTTAAGTACTGTTGCTTTAAACTGTTTAAGTAGTGTTAATTCATTTGTATTAGTCATCATCCACGGCCCCGCCCCCAGCGTTTGCCTGGACTTGTCGGCCATGAGACACAAGTCTCATCAAGAGAAATTTTGCAAGAGTGGAAAGTACAAGATAAACGTTATTTTTATGTTTTTTTGTTAATGCTTACTTCTAGCGTACATTTATCAGACTGCTTTGTTTTAGTTGTACTTTGTTGTAATTTATCAGACTACTTTGTTGTAGTAGCTCGTAACTTAGCTTGCCAGCACACAATTCCCGCCTAGCGCTGTATGGAGTCTGCCTTCACAATTTAAAAAATTAACGGTTGGTGGCTTGTTTCAATCAAATAGTTGGTAAGTAGTCTAATTTTTGCAAACTGCATGCCACAAAACCTTTGGTAAAATCAGTGTTTAGGCTTTTCTGACTCTGAACTTTATCAAGTTCAAATGTAGCCTACTTTTGACACAGTGAAAATGGTAGAAGATTTATTTAGTGTTCATTTTAAGAGTTTACTGGACAAGTTCACCTTCACAAATTTAAATATGATGCTTAGTGGCATTTTAGTCGTGAAATAATTTACCTTTTCAAAGCTGCACTGCACCAAACCTAAACGTTTCTGACTCTGTACTTTCCAAGGGTTAGCCTATTGTGTACTTCACTTATGTAAAATTGCTTTATTATTTCATAACATTTAGAGTAGTTGACCAACCTGAATTGAAAATGAACTGTAGTTACTGTTTTCAAAGCTTGTGTTATCCAGGTTGACTGTTTTTAAGTGAAGTAAAAGTCTAAAAGTAAAAACTGTTCTGCTAGCTTTCTGTCCTCATGGCTTTGTGTTATTACAGTCTGACGATTGAAGGAGCAGTAGCATGCCGAGAGATCATCCAGCACTGCACTAAAGACAGCCAGTAAAGGTGATTTTAAAACGATTTGGCATCAAAATGTGGAATTGCAAGTTGTGTAGTTTTTCTACTGCCATAAAAGTCATGTTGTTGAAGCATTATCGGCTCAACCATGGTCAGTACTCCACAATTTCACCCTTACCCTGTCTCTACAACACATGCATGTGTACATTTAGTACATTTAATTCATTAAAGATACACATGTCAAGAATGCACACTCCCACACAAAGAAAAGACGGTTCTTATCTAGATTTGAATAAATATGGATTTTGTTGCCCTGTGTGTAATTTTAAGCAGCCATTTATTGAAAGCCAAATGTTTATCCATCTGAGGGGGCATTTAAAACGAAAAGAAACTGTTCCATGTCCTTTCAAGAACTGCAATTTTAAAACCAATGTATACTCAACCTTCAATGCCCACAAATGCAGAGACCACCAAAATTCAACAAGTTACAATGAAGGCATTGTGCAAAGTGTTATAAATGTAGAACAAAAAGATGACATGCAGCTTGATTCAATAGAGTCATCAGATGACAATCAAGTGGCATCCACCAGTGAAATCAGTGGAATTGAGGGTTTAGAAGAGCAGTTGCAATACAATCTGGCTGGATTTTTCTTGAAAATGCAGACCCTTCTCCATGTGTCCCAGAGAGCAACACAGGAGATTATTGAGCATATTGATCAGTTGTTTTTGTTATCAGTACCTCTGGTTAGAAAATCAGTTGTAGATATACTGAAAAAGCACAACTGTACATATACGGACAAACTGGTGGATGAGATTTGTCAGGCAGTTTCTGATAGTAATGTTTTACATAAATGTGTCACATCTGAAGGACCACTATCTACAGCAAAGAGGAGGAAATCATATTACGAAGCAAATTTTCCATATGTCAAACCTGTGGAGTATTTAATTGAATCGTCAAAGCACACTTATATGTATGTGCCTATTCTCACATCTTTGCAATTGTTGTTGAAAAAAAATGATGTGCTTGAAGAAATTAAACAAGCACCCACACAGATTCCTGGACATTTCATGTCATTTTGTGATGGATCCTACTACCAGGAAAATGTTCTACTGTCACAAGAGGGACAGAAATTGTCAATAATACTTTACGTGGATGATTTTGAAATCGCAAACCCACTTGGTACCTCAAAGAAAATACATAAAGTTTTGCAGTTTATTGGACACTGGCAAACTTTCCAGTTAAATCTCGTTCTGCTCTACACTGCACTCAGCTTGCTCTGCTGTGCAATTCCAATGATGTACGCCAGTTTGGGTATAAGGAAATGTTGTCACCACTCTTAAATGATCTGAAAACTCTTGAAGAAGTAGGTGTCTACATTGAGACTCTTGGTGAATGTCTTAAAGGCACTGTCTACTCTGTTGTGGCAGACAACCTTGCTGCCCATGGACTTGCTGGTTTCAATGAGAGTTTCAGGTCTACATATTTCTGTAGGTTTTGTCATGCCACCCAAACAGAAATGCAAACTGAAAATGCTGTTACAGGAATTATGTAATGAGAACAAAAGATGCTCATGATAATCTTGTGCAAGAGCTTCAGAATGATGACATTGAGGAAAACTATGGTGTTAAAAACCCCTGTGTTCTTTCTGACCATCTCTCTTTCTTCCATCCTGTCACAGGCTTCCCACCTGACCTCCTACATGACCTGTTTGAAGGTGTCGTTCCAGTGGAGTTGGCACATTGTTTAAAAGGTTTGATTTCTAAGAGATATTTTACCTTAGAAGACTTAAACAGAGCAATTCTGCGCTTTCCCTACCAACATTCTGACAAAGTTGATCGCCCTCATCCAATACCCTCAAATTTTGCCAGGCGAGGGACCATTGGTGGGAACGGGCATGAAAATCATGCCCTTCTTAGACTGTTGCCTCTTCTCATTGGCTCCAAAGTTCCAGAAAGAGACACTTTTTGGAAGTGCTAATGGATTTAAAGGACGTAGTTCAGCTTGCCATGTCTCATACTTTTAGTGACGAGACCATTCAGTACATGGCCTGTAAATATTAGATCACAGACAACTCTTTCAGGAAGTGTTTCCTAATGTTCGATTCAGGCCAAAGCATCATTACATCGAGCATTACCCACACTTAATAAAGTGCTTTGGTCCCTTAGTTCATCTTTGGACATGAGATTTGAGGGAAAGCATAAGGTTTTCAAAAAAATAGTTCATGACACTCACAACTACAAAAATGTACTAAAAACTTTGGCAGAGAGACATCAAAGCATGATGGCATTTTATTTGTCCTCATCAACGTTTTTCAAACCACCTGTGCAAACATCCAAAATGGAGTCTTTGTACATTTCATCATTACCTGCAGATACACAATTATTTATTTCAGGTATTGCTGACAGTAGCACAATATATGCAACAAAAAAGGTTACAATTAATGGCACAAACTTTGCAATTGGCATGTTTGTATGCACAGGTGCTTATGCTGCATTGCCAGAGTTCAAAGAGATTCTTAATGTACTGCTCATCAGAAACAACATTTATTTTCTCTTGAAAGACTATGACACTTATTACGTTGAGCACTTGCGTTCATATGAAGTAGCAGAGAATCAACAGAGGGGTCTCCGTCACAGTGTAAAATCTCTGTGCCAACTGTCTGACCACATGCCGCATGTTGTTACAAGAAGCAAATGAACTCATTCTAACAACAAACCATTTCATTCCAGTGTCTGACTAAAGAAACAGAACTGAGACATCAGCTGATTCCACCAATTTCTGAACCAATGCAAAGGTATTCATCTATTCAGTTTTTTTGTATTCACATAAATGTTTTTATATTTTGCACAATTAATATTTTGCAAATAACTGTAAACACAAACATGTATTAAAATGCCACTATAATATGTGAAACCTGTCTGTTACAGAAATAACAAATTCAGATGGAGGCAACAGGAATATTGAAGCTAAGGGTCATCCTTGATAAGGATAACGCTGAAAAACTTATTTTGCCATCTCGTCCAAACAGTGTGCAGCCTCATAGATGCGATCAAATCTAGGCTAATTTTACTTTTGACTTTCGGCTTCAGTTTCATGACCCAGATTTTGATAATGCCTTGTGTAATTTGGTTAAAATAGAAGACCTGCCAGCTATAGCATCTGTTAAAGTTGTCAGGTTAGTTGAGCTTGACCGGATTTCAACGAGCACTGATGACACAATCCTTCAGACTGATAGCACTGATACCATAGATTCACCAGAGCGTATTAGTAGATGGCCAGAAGTTTTTATTGTTCCGCCATTTTCTTATGAAGTGGAACATGTATTAAGAGAGGGTAATGCAGCATTTGATAAAAATGGAAAGTAATTACGCTGACACGAGATCAAAACACAACATACTTGAGACAATGGGGGAAGAAATCTACAAACTAAAAGCATACCCTAGTACAACACAAATTGGCAAGGCTGCAGAAGCTTTAGTTAGAAAACATCCCTGTCTGAAAGAGAGGAATTCTGACACTGGGTGGGAAGGGTGGAAGAATAGCCTGAGATATAAAATGGGAAACCAAAGAAAGAAGTTGGCTAAAGCTGGCATCATGGATGTTGCTGTGAATGCTGGAAAGCGCAGCAGAACAAACCCAGATGGAGCTTCACCAAGGGCCAATATTAAAAGACCTAGGAGAGGTGAGGTCAACTTCCTTCCTTCCTTATCCTTCAGGAGAAACAAGGGAGTCTCTGGAAACCAGAAGACTTGAGATGGTAGAGGAGTTCAAGAAGACCTCAGCAGAAAGAGACATCCTTCTCATTCACCAGCATATGATGCGCACTTTTGCACTCCGGCGTGAAGAGATTGTCACCACTTCTCCTCCTGTATCAGAGCTCAAGGACAGATGGCCAGCACTTTTTCATGAGACACAGGTAAGTAAACTACATATATAACATTTGCTGTTCATATAGTATGCTGTGTTTTGCTTATAATATTTTTGGAATTCTCCTCAGCTCTACTTTGAATTTCATCGGATCACCAATCAGAATCTGCCACATGTGTTTTATGCTGCACTGGATGATATGCTCCTCAGCTGATTGGACTTTACAAAAAGAGGAAAACTGGACGGGTCGGTGAAAGGATGGAGCAGCTTTTGTTGGCATATGGAAAACAGGTATTTAAAAATACTAATTATTATTCTGCTTGCTTGCAGTTGCCATGCTATGTTTATATATATATATATATATATATATATATATATATATATATATATTTTTTTTTTTTTTTTAGGACAAAAACGACATCTATGCAACTAGAACAGCAGCTCTGGCCGGCCTACCAATGTACCTCAAGGAGGATTCTTCAGAGATTTTCAAAACATGCAAGGTACTTGGGTATTACAATAATTTGCACATTTGAATTTAAAAAAGGTTGAAAGGAGTTTTATAAGTCATCTGGACTTGGTTGAAAGTTGAAGACGTGAAGTTGAATGACTTATAAACTTCTTTCATCCTTGATTTGACTGGATGAATGAAAAATGAACCTTCACTGTCAATTTAAAACATGTTATGATATATAGAATTTGAAAAACTGAAGAAAGGTGCCTGACCATTTGTATTTATACTTTTAACAGAGGTATTACAGATGAATAATTGTGCACTGTGTATTATAGGAGGAAATTGAGTTCTATGAAGCCACAATTGCTCTGGTTGCTGATGTCGATGAAGAGGAGGTGCCTGGAGGAGTTCCTTTCTCACCACGCCAAGTGTTCATAGTACTTGAAGATCAGGTTGTTATGACTCATCACTCATGGACTGATGCCCTGGTGTGTTTGTTTGGGCTAATCTATGCTCTGCACTGAGCTATCCTGAGAAGTGTACTGGCTTTTTGAGTTCATTCAAGTAGTGTTGCTGAAGCTAGACGATGAGAGAAAGCAACTAAAACCAAAATTGCAGACACTAAAAATGAGCTTGTGTAGATGATGTTTGTTTTTCACTGGTCAATATACTCGTGCTTTTTCAGTTATCTGTGAATGGCTTCAATAGTTTTTTTTGTTCAGGGTAATTAGCTTTCTAAAAGACAATGTGGAGAAAGCTAAGAATAAGGAGACAATCCATATTTGACGTTTTGTTTGTGATTGAAAAAAATCTTTACATAGTGTGTAATCTTAAGCTTATTTCTAAAAACACCTTTTAGTTACATGGAAATCTTTTGGAAGATAACTGATAATTAGTCAATATGTACAGTATACTTTCAAGCTTTATTTTTTAATTGTGTGATGAGTGCCAGTTCACTTGACTCGAGGTCTGGGCAAAACTGTTGAGAAGCCACAAATACCTTTGAGAATATTTTTTGTTAGTTCAGCTGTTTTCTATAGTTGCATTGCTGTAGTGCATCTGATTTCATTATTATACTAAATGTTACTTAAATTGTGATTGTTATGGCTCTAATTGCCTCTAGACTATTGTTTTTATATGATGTACACCTAAATGTGTGTTTTGTATATTTAATTGATTTCAAAATGCTACAAAAAACATTCAAAATTCCCTAAAAGCGCAAGTTTTAAAATGCCTAATTATTTGTTTGTTTGATAATGGCTTTAGCAGTCATAGGTTATGACTCAAAGTATGGTTGTATTCATTCTGTATTTTCTCTGCAGTTAAAGTTAATAAAACTGAATGGAAAGAACAATAGCTTGGTTTTGTGTTAATAGTACTTGAACCATTTGGTGCAATCGGTTTCCCCAAATGGATTAAGTTGTTAAATACAACTATTTAAGTTATTTAACTTAATTTGAATATGAGCATGTAACACTTTAAATAAGTTTGAATAAATACAGCATCTTAGTACAACAAATTTAATGGTTTAAGTTAAAACATACTAAAAACAATGAGTAAATAAACATAATGCATTTGAGTTACATTATCATATTTGCTTTGGGTTCTTGGACTCTAATAAAGTACTTAAATAATCCAAAACTGTTTAAGTTATAAAACTTGAATCAATTGGTGCAATCAGTTTCCCCAAATCATTTGAGTTAACTTAACTGGTCAGGTTTTACAGTGAACAAACACAACAATTCAGGATTGTTCACACCTGCTGCTGATTGCCGATATCATTTACATGCATTGAGCCAGAGCCAGGAGGCCTGAGCCAGCAATGCATGGACAAAAAGAGGCAGGGGAGGTCAGGGCCCTGTTTCAGGAAGCCGGTTTAGAAAACTCAGAGTGAAAAATGATACTCAGGGTTGAGTAACCCCGAACTGTCCAACTCGGAATATTCGGTTTCAGAAAGGCTGATAACAAGTAGTTCAATCAACGCGGAGTTGCCCTAACCCAAAGTTAAGCACGCGCACGAGGATACATAAAGCCCTGATTAGTGGAGCACAGATTAAGCGAGTCACCATGGAGACGGAGGGAAAGAAGGCCGGTCAATGTATTTTACAGCGCTTGAGGCCGAAATTCTGATGGCAGCATATGCCGATAACATGCAAATCTTGCAGGAAAAAGTAACACAGCCACAGCTGCGAAAGAAAGGGAGCATGCATGGCAAAACATAGCCGACAGAGTCAATGCGTGAGTGTTAATATAAACAATGATCTAGGGATTTCCACCATTTAACACGTTATTTTATCATATGTTATTTTATTTGTTATTTTATACATTTTATGTTGTGATGTGATGTGAGTGCAGGTGCAACCCAACAGGCCCCAAACGTTCCTGGCAGCAAGTAAAAATGAAATATAAAAATATAGTCCAAACAGGTAAGGTGTAATTGTATTATGAGCCATAGTGCTTGGTCTGTTTGTCCCATGTAAATCAATTGCAGTTAGAGGCTACATTAATTTTCTTTCTGTAAGCACTTATTGAAATTATCTGAGCACATTACAAGTACATATTTGCTTACTCTGTATGCTCAAATGTGGCCCGTTATAGCCAACAGAAAAAAAGCGGAGGCCCGAAAAAACAGGTGGGGGTCCTCCACCACCACCACTCACAGAGGCTGAGCAGTTGGCCCTCAGCCAAACAGTGGCGCCCTGTGGCCGAAGGCATCTCTGCGGGGACATCCTCTGAGTCAATAACCCCGCAAGACACAAGTGCCTACATAGGGGTAAATTCAAATAATACATGATGTGCATACATCCTTTCTTCACAGTCACCTTTGCAGTGCTACTCATTCATTTGATAAACTCTTTACCATAATGGATTATTTTGTAGTGAAGTTATTTCCTACTGATTTGCCTTCCCTCAGCCTTGGTTGTCTTTGAGAGCATAATGACAATGAAGTGTAAGGTGCTTGGTATGTTTGTTAATTGCCATTTGGTCCCTTGTAAGTTATAAGTGACCTGTATAAACCTCATATTCTATCAGTTGATGGTGGTGGTGTACTGCATCTGGTGCAGCCTCCTGTTGAGCCAGACCAACATGCAGTTGTGAGTAATACTCCACAGATTATATGAGTTTACAGTAGAACAGCAATGTTGTTTATTTCTTTACTACAGGAAAATAATGAAGAAACATTGACAGCTATTACAGAGGAGGAAGCAACAGAGACACTTTATGAGGTTTACATCTTTTAATACTTTGTGTACAGGAAATACAGGCGACCAATAAAGCCAGTTGAACAAAAAATCTGTTTATTCTTCTTTCAACATGTTGAGGTGATGGGTCAAAAGAAATGATTGTGACATATGGTGTCTCTGACTGCGCTTCCATCTTGTATGTCGGTGGGAGGGTCAGGATGTTCATGGTTTGGATCACTGCTGTTTGGTTCAGAAGGACAGTGTTCTCCTCTAATTGTGGCAATGTTGTGAAGAATCACGCATGCCACAATAATGTCACATGCCCTTTCTGGGGTGACCCTGAGTCTTTGCAGGCACTGGAACCGGGCCTTAAGCATTCCGATAGTCATTTCAACTCTGGCTCTTGTCCTGCAATTAGCCAGATTATATCGCTGCTGTGGGCCCGGTTCAGGGTCAGGGTAAGGGGTAAGCAAATAGGGTAAACATGGATACCCCCTATCACCAAGCAAGTAGCCAGTGAACTCTCCTAAGACAGAAGGTACACTTCAGTTCAAATGTCCCTGAAGCAATTGGTCTTATATATTTTAAAGTATTCTCAACTCACCATGTCCACATTTTGTGCTCAGTGTACATTCACGGAATATTTGTGAGTCATGGACAGAGCCTGGCCACTTGGCTTCCACATTTGTGATAATGTTGGCAGCATCACATATGATCTTCACAGTGCAGAGAACACAAATTAGCATCCATTACTATAATGAAATAATTTGTTAGTTTGAAATGCTACAGGGAACTATGTACCTGTACATTAATGCTGTGGAAAGACTTCCTGTTCACATAGTCTCCTTCATTTACTGAAGGAGCAATGATTGGAATGTGAGTGCCATCTGTACAGCCAATCACGCCTGGGAACCTGAAAATAAATGTAAAATTTAAGTAGTAGTCCAGTATCACCACATCATAATTAAGTTTTGGTCATCCTGATACCTGCAATTTTGTGGCATCCCTCTTTGATAAATCTTGTGGGTCTATGACCGGGGAACACCACAGACGTGTACAGGAGACGTTTCAGTGCAACTGTAACATTCCTGACTGCCCGACAGACGGTAGCCTTGGAAACGTGCTCAGCGTCACCAATATTATACAGAAAGCTCCCGTTTGCAAAAAACCGAAGTGCAATACAAATAATATGTACAGAACTGAGAGCATGTCCGCGATGTGTCACATGCGTAATATATGGCCTGAGGATGTTATCCAAATAACTTAGAGATTGTGCTGAGAAACGGTAACGTTCGCACAGAAAATCATCAGGAAATGATAAATGTCCAAACGCGCTCTAATCACTCTCTCCCGGCGGAGAGCTCTGCAGAGAATTTGGGCTTCACGATCTACTGGCTCTTCAAGGAGGAGGCACGCCATGTCTGACACTTCCTACTGTCAGGTTTCCGACAAAGGGCGGAGACAGTCAGGTTAGTTGTAGTAAACCTGCTAGGGGGCAGGTTAGCTTCACGGAGTGTGTCGTCATAGTGACTCACTGAGGCTTCATCTGAACTCTCTTTGTGAAACCGAAAGCCCAGAGTTTTCGTTAACTCAGGGTATACTTACTCAGTTTTTCCACTAAACCGGCTTCCTGAAACAGGGCCAGGAGAGTAAATATAATTTCAGCAATTCGGAAACCACAGAATGATAATGATAATAATTATGTGGAAAAAGTTTAACATATGATATTAACATATGCCACACAGAGATCATATCATCTATTAACATGTTTCTTACTTCCACACCCTTTTTATACATGTTAACTTTACTTAAAATTATAATTTTTTATAATAATGAAAAAGATAGTGATTTAAATAAGAGACAGAAACAAAGACACTGCAGATAGTGTTACAGATTACAGATTGTTTTACAACTGTTTGGCACATTTTTTGAAATGTTTACTTGGTAAAATTAGAAAATTAACTTATACTCTCAAAACATCAAATTCTTCTGGAAAAAAAAAGCACACAACAATGTGCTTAACAGTTGTTAAAACCTGTTCGTCATTCAAATAAAATGTGTTATGCTCGTCAACACAGACCTGGAAATAAATTCTGAATATTTAATCTTCAAAAATGCATTTCTTTGTGCTGTCATTGTTGTTTTTAAAACAACACAGCAAGCAGTCTCATATAGGCTCATGTTATTTCTGCTGTACTTTAAAACTGGTGGTCCTAATATCCCAAAAGCATTGCAC